AGGAGCCATGGCCTCCGCCAGCCCTTCTGCCCGGGAGGAAGCCGCCCTCTGCCTCTCGCCCGGATCTCAGGCAGGTTAGTCCCTCCCCGAGTGTCCCGGGTCCTTTCAGGCTGCTGCCCGGCGCTGGGCTCAGAGGGAGCGTCCGAGTGAGTCCGTGCCGGGCCCTTTAGAGGAGCTGCTGGGGCTCCCGCAGCCTCCGCGACCCTCAGGGACAGTCCCCGCTGGTTTCACAGCCCGGAGTTGTGGGGACGTCTCTTCCTGCCTGGAGCCCTGGGCTGGGGGCTGCTGTGGGGCTGGGAGCCCTCGCTCCTCGGGGAAACCTCCACGGCCGAGATCCCCTCCCAGGTTTAAACCGCTGCACCGGATGTGGGCCCCGCGGCCACAGATGTGGCCCCGAGGCCACGTCTCTGCGGTTCAGTCCCCATCTGCCCTCGTCTCCACCCCTCCTCCCGGTCTCGATGCTCCTTCAGCTCCCTGGTTGTGGGGCTTCTGTGCAGCCAGATCTCAGGAGGCTCTGAGGGACGGTGGTTCTGTGTTTTAGTTGTAACTTTGATGGGGCTGCGGGAGGCGGCGGGTGCAGGTGCTGCCTATGCTGCCATCTTGTTTCTCTCCGACAATATGACTTTAAAGAAACAATACAGCCTTGCTTCCTGACTGGCCGGTCCAGTTCTTGTGATACTCAGCTTCAGTTAGGCCTTGCTTCTTAACCATGGATTATCAGCAACAGTTTTATAATTGGTTGTATATTTACAATCTAACTCCTTTTCCCTGAGCAATTTTCTGTCTACAAACTCTATCTTACCATATGTATTCCAAAGAAAAATATTCAGATAGTCAAGATTAAAAAATATTTACCATTTATTTTTAAAGGCATTAGTAAAAAGCTTAACATACTAAGAAAGTTACAATATACAAATGAGTTGACAGATTGACTTTTCTGCACTGTATGTGACCTTTAGTTTCTTTTAATTACTCACATTTCCATTGTTCAGTTATTCAAACTGGTTATTCCCTAGAAATACCTGGCCGATTACTTAAGTACGAGTCAGATATGACAAGGGCAAATGTAGATGATTGTGCCACTCAACCAAGTGCTCATGAAGAAAATG